ATTTCTTCCTTGACAAATGGGTTATTTAAAATCTGTTCGACTTCCAAATATATGAGGATCATCAAATTGTCTTTTTGTAATTGATTTCCAGCTTAATTGCATTGTGTTTGGAGAACATATTTCATTTGAATTAATTCTTTTGAAGTTTGTGGAGACTTGTCTTATATCTCAACATACAAATTTTGGCATATGTGCCACTTGTGTTTGAAAGGTATGCTGTTGAGTGTAGTGTTCTACATGTGTCCATTTGGCCAAGTTTAATTGTGTTGCTTAAACTTTGTATAACTTGATTTTTATATGCCTTTTTAAATCAGTTACTTAAATAGGTGTGTTAAGATCTTGCTATATCATATTTGCCTAAATTTCCTACTTCTATCAACTTTGATGTATTTTGAGATTATATCACTAGTGCATAAAAATTTAGAATTACCACTTTCTGATAATTGAACCCACCGTTTTTATTTCTAATAATGCTTTTTTTTTTTTGCCTTAAAGTTTAGTATTAATATATCTACACCAGTTTCCTATGCTTACTGTTTGCTGGGTATATATTTCTCCATTCTTTGAAACTTTCTAAATTCATGTTTCAAAAAGTATCTCTTGTAAATGGCATAGGATTTTTATTTTTTTAATTCATTTAAAAAAATTTATTTTAAGTAAACCTGATGCCACACATGGGGCTTGAACTCAAGAAGACCCTGAGATCAAGAGTTGTGTGCTCTACCAACTGAGCCAGACAGGCACCCCTATGATTGTTGTGTGTGTGGGTTTTTTAAAGAATTTATCAGAGAAGGCGAGTGAGCCCACAAGCAGGGGTGGGGAAGGGCAGGTAAAGGGAGAAGCAGGCTCCCTACTGAGCAAGGATCCTGATTCAGGACTCGATCCCAGGACTCTGGGATCATGACATGAGCCGAAGGCAGACGATTAAACGACTGAGCCACCCAGGCGTCCCATGATTGTTGTTTTTAAAGCTAGTCTGACAATCTTTGTCAACAATGGAGCATTAACTCATTTACATTTAATGAAATAATGGATTTATCACATATATCTTGCAACTTGCTTTCTATTTGTCCCACTGGTTCTGTTTTTCTTCTTTCTTATCCCCTTATCTTCAACTTGCCACTGAATTGGTTATTCCATCCTCTCCAATTAGCTTCAAAGTTACTCTTTTACTAGTATTTTTTACAACATGCATTCTTGTCTTGTCAAAGTCTAATATTAAATGGGACTTTTTTTTAGTGTTACAATCAGAAATAGAGGATTTATATGGGTACCCCATGGATATTTCTGATTGTAACACTGTAAGTTTTCTTCCTGGTTCATCGATGGTGGTCTTCTTGCTAGGTCTTCACATGGTGGAGAGGATGAGAGATCACTCTCATGTCTCTTTTTATAAGGGCACGAATCCCATCATGGTGGCTCCATCATCATGAGCACCTAAACCTAATGACCTCCCAAAGGTCCCTCCTCCTAATACCATCACATTGGAAGTTCAGGATCATTATATTAATTTGGGGGGAATCCATTCAGTCCATTAACAGTTCACTTCCTCCAAAGAGAATATACATTTGCTAGGCACCTGGACGCATTAGTAATTTGATTTCACCTCGATTCACATTCAGAGATTAGAAAGGATTGATTTGGAAGCTGGCCACAGCATCCACAAAGGATAGTCTACTGATCAGAATGGAGGACTAAGTAATCTAAACCAACCCTCCAGCAAAGAACTCGGAAATCTGGCCAAAATATTTTAAAATTTTGCTTGAAGGCATGCCAGAGCCAACAGGACGGTGAAGTAGTATCTGGTTAGTTGTAGGAGACTGCTTTTTTCTGGGGGTCTTTGCTATTCCAGAGGCTGTTGTCTGAGTAGCTGCACTTTCAATCACCTTGTAAAACCAGGAGAGTAGTGGTTGCCATGTATGACCTGACCAAGAGGGTGGGGTGGGGGGGGCAGGTAGTTCCTGATGAATCTCCCTTGCTTTGTGTGGAGAACCCCAAATGGATATATCCTAACGAGATTACATTTTATGCTTTAGTAAAGTTCTTAAAAAATAAAAATGCATTATGTACTGTGAATTGTGTGCTATAATCCATTCCTCAGCTTCTCATATTCATAGGAAGCTTGGCTCTTCATCAGAGAATAGAAACCCTGACCTCCTTGACTCTTGGAGGCAATGTAGGACACTGGAATAACCCTGAATTTGGCCTCAGAAAGCCCAAGGATCAGTCCCGAATATCAAATGGCAGCTACTAAAACTGCAGGCATAGTGCCTAGGAGGGAATTAAGAGACCCAAAGGGTTGACCTTGCAAACTCAAACCTATAAAGTATCAGCAAGTACCACAACTCTAATTTATGGCTCTGGAAATGAGCGCAGAATGACTCGGTTATGCAGAAAGATTTAATGCCTAAGGCAAAACACTGGCTCCCCAGGACCTCAAGGACAGTATGTTGCGTAAAGAATATTAAGAGATCCTAGCCCTAGAGGCATCCCCCCACCCCCCACACTGAACATTTCTTTACCTTAGTAAGCTTGAGGAAGTTGCTAAGTGTTCTGATTGATGCTGGTTCTATGTTCTTCCCTCTCCCCATCTTGCACGTTTCCAGCTCCCGTGATTTCCTTCTGGAGCGGTGTACTTTCCATGCTTCACCCCAGGGACCTTCTCTGTCTTTCCTTTCTCAGTCTCTGTCCTTGAGCTCTTCCACAGCCCTGCTTCTGTCTGCACCCTTGAATGATGAGCACCCTGTGATGCCAAGGCTGTTGTTCCAGATCCCATCGCACCAGCCTCAATGGGGGACCGTGAGAACCAGAGTTACCGTTTTGAAGCTTTTTTGCACAGCGCCTTGAACTCTTGATAGGAAAGGTGGTACTGAAAGGGGCCCATGCTTTCAAAAACAAGTAATTGTGGCAGAACCATTTGTTGATGATACAGTGCAGTAACAGTTTTGTATCTTGGGTAAGAATCAGATGTTAACTTCCATCCAAACACAAGATGGCCCTGTACTGCCTCATTCTACACATTTTTACTTCGTGGAAAACAATTTCTAAGCAAATTAATGCAAGCGTAATTCAAGTTTATCAGTTAAATTTATTGTCATGTAATAGATCTTTCACAAAAATCAGGAAGAGACTCCTGGTGGGTCTCCAGAGCTGAGGCATGACGCAGTGGTGTCTGGGAGTGTGGGCCCATGTGCTGCCTGAGGCGGTAGCCCCGGCTGAGCTTTTAGGCCAGTGAGCATTTCCGCTGTTTGGTTCATTAAAAGCGGGTGGGGGAGAGGAGCCTGCTGGAGAATGGGGCTTTGGAGGCACCTTGGTGAGCCAGGTGGCCTGGGGAGGGAACTGTGGGATCCCCTCAGTCAAGGGCTCCTTGGTTGTTGGCCCTCTCTGACTTTTGGGGGACCCTATTTCCTCCTGCCCCGAGAACTGATAGGCCTGCAGTCTAGTGATTATCCCATGGCACTGCTCAGCCCTCAGCCTCCAAGGACAGATCCATGGTCCTAACAGAGGTTCAGGTGCTGCACGCGACCCTTTTAACATTGTGTGTCTTGGTTTAAAGGAAGCGAGTCAAAATGCGTTGGAAGCAAATTCAAGCTGTCTATCATTTCCCCATGCGGGGAACATAAAATAATTGCCACCTAAAATGATCATCATTCAGACTGTGAGGATTGATCCGTCCACCTTCAAACTGCCTCTTCCCCTGGGCTCGACTAAGCAGAAGCTGTTAACATGCCTCATCTGCAGGTCTGAGGCCCTGTCCGTGTGATCTTAAGTGAGATACAGGAGAGCCCCCAGCCATTTGTGGAGACAGGAAGAGGCCTGAACAGAGCAAGGCCCGAGGAGGCGGCGGGCAACCTGCCCTTGCCTCCTGGGTCCAGCCACCAGCGATGGCCCTTCGTCCATCAGCCGGCCAGCCAGCCAGCCTGCCTCAGGAAGTGTCAGCTCCAGCACCTGTCCTGGTGAGGACAAGGAAATCGCCTGGCTAGCCTTAAAAGCCCACTGAAGAGATGGAGCAGCCCAGGCTTTTCACAGGCAGAAGCCACACAGATGTGCACTGACGTGCTGGCGTGTTTTTGACCTTTCCAGAGCTTGCTGTGACTGGACATAGCTCCTCCCAGACCCTCTGAGATTGTGATGGACCAAAATGACTCCGGCCTCCAGCCCAGGGACGCAGGGAGAGGAGAGAAGTTAGTTCCCGATAGAGATCAGGCAACAACCGACTGACACGGGGTGCTCAGTCTCATTTGGGATTACGTGCTTTCTACACAGAAAAGCAAATACTTTTCGTGTCTTTGAGAATGAAACGAGGCTCCTCATCCAGGCTGTGAGAGGGTGGTCGTGGACTCAGACCTGGCCTCCAAAGGACCAGCCCACTCTGCCCTCAGTGTCCGCGGCTCTGGCAGGCACACTCTGCTCAGGGCAGGCCAGCGAAGGTTTCCCTCAGAGGAGCTTCTTCCTCTAGCTCAGGGCCCAAAACAGTTTAAACAAAGTCAGAGATGAAGAGAAAAACATGTTTTTCATCTCATGTGGAATACTGTATTAATCAAATTGGTCTCCTTTTCTATTAGTCTGGTTGAAGAAAAAAGATTGCTTTCAAAATGAAGCTTTTCGTTTCCCAATGATTAATATAGAGTAGATTAACTTAATTTGTGCTAGACTCCAATTTAATTCAGCTACAGCTCAGAGGCCAAATCCACAGAAAAGCTAATCTGAGCTTCATGAGAAGGAGCCATTTCTTTCTTTGAAAGATGCAGAGGATCTGATCTAAAGGCTTATATCCAACGGCCCGGGCATAGTGTTTATTAAATCATGGGCCCTCTGGAAGGCAACCCCTCATACATATGACTTCATTTCCTTACTAATTCCTGTCTCATCATCTTTTCAGATATTTCTCTATGTTGAAAACACACACACACACACACACAGGACCAAAACAAAAATTTTGAACACGCAAAGAAAAAAAATAGTATGTACTGGTGAAGTGTTATATGCCTAAGGCATTGGGTTCCTGGAAACGCTCTAGATTTTTGGTTTAGAAATAAAACTGCATGTGGAATAGCAGGTTTTTACATTTATTATTATTGTGTGCCCCCCCACCCCCTTTTTTTTTGCACTACAATCTAAGCTGAGTGATCTACTGCCAACTGGCACCAACTCTCCAAATCCAAGCGTGTAAGGGAAGCATGCCTGTGTGATCGTCTTTGCTAGAAGATACATCAGGCAATCTGTCTACTTCTGTTCCCCAGGAAGAAAATAACTGGACGGGCTGCTCAGCTGGAGGGAGGTGAGGGTGGGAGATGGTGGCCTGCCCTCAGTCGGAATCCAGTGTGAAGAGCTGGATGTCCTGTGGGTTCCAGTAGAGACCTACTGCTGAGTTGTAGACCAGAGACCACACATAGGGGATAAAAAACTCCTCGGGCTGCTCCTCTTCCACATATTTGAATTTCAATTCTGGAAATTTCTGCAACAAAAACAAGACGATTTTATAATCTCGCAGTTCCATGCAAAAGCAGTGTTGGGGTGTGCAGGGAGCCCACCTCCCTCACTGGTCACCAGGCCTGAGAGGTCTGGGGCTTTACCGGCCAGTCTGCAAATGACTCCTGAGAAAACGTGAAGTGTGTGGAGGAAAGACGAGTAAGCCCGTCAGTAGCTGTCTGCTGATGCTGGTCTGTGAGCGGAGCAGGGACCCGAACAGGGGAGGCAGGAGGACAAGTGTCAGAGCGGAAACGGGCCCTGCGTGGGTGACAGACGGAGGGCTCGCAGAAAGACTACCTACTGGCCCAGCCGAGGGCTGGCTCTTCCTGAGAGACTTTGCTTTCAGGGCTGCGTCTCCTCAGAGATGAGAGCTTTCCCTCACAACTCCTCAGCCTGGACCCGCAGGGGCAGGCAGGCGTCCCTCGTGGAAGGCCGGGCAGGCGCCGGGGCAGCAGCTGCTCTGCGCAGGCCAGGGCCGCCTCCTCGGGGCCGCGGTGATGGCTGAGGCCTTGTGGAGGGAGGCCGGGGTGACTCCTCGCCGGGGCTCGGTTAAAGCTGCAGTCTGGCTCTGTGAACGTAGCCAGGCGACCGGGCCTGCACTCTGCGGCCCAGCTGATAAGCAAGCACTGAAATAATCTGATGACTATGTGGACGAATGAAACAACCAACCATGTACTGAGGACCAACGCTGTGCCAGGCGACAGCCACTGCTTTATGTACATTGTCTCGTTCGCAGTCTTCTGTTCACTGGACCGGCTGGGCGTCTGCAGGGGGCGGTGGCCAGGGGCCGGCCTGCCCTCACAGAAAGGGCGCTCTGGGGTGGGGGTGGGGGCAGCAGCAGCAGCAGAACAATGAGAACAGATTAGTGAGAAAGACAGGAGACTCCAGGGCCCTGAGGGAGGCTGGGGGGGGGCGGGCAGCCAGGTGAAGAGGGAAGGGCGTCGCTCCTGCTGGACCAGGTGGACGCAAGGCCGGTGTGAGGCAAGGGCACAGCAGGCTGGAAGGCAGAGGAGGTGCTGGAGGTGCAAGGCAGGCTGGGGGAAGCACCAGCAAGCAGGGCCCAGACCCGGCAGGAAGGAGGGACACAGGAGCCGCATGAGGAGTCCTGGCCTCCACACTAAGGTCCTGGAAGCCTTTGAAGGGTCTGAGAAGGGGGCTTGGTGAGAATGGCTCTGCGCAATGACCCCTCCAGTCACAGTGTGGAGAACAGAGGGCACGTAGCAGGGGTGGGGACAGGCCTGGACCAGGAGAGAGGCCAGTAGGCCTAAACGAAGAGGAAGGAGGGGGGTGGGCAGGAAAGCCACCCACTCATCCACCCATCCACACAGAGTTGTAGGAATTTTATTTTTATTTATTTTTAAAGATTTATTTTATAGAGACACAGAGAAAGAATGCGTGAGTGGGGGGAGGGGCAGAGGGAGAGAGCAAATCCTTACGCAGGCTCCCCACTGAGCGTGGAGCCCGACACAGGCTCAATCCCCAGGACCCCGAAATCATGACCTGAGCCAAAATCAAGAGTTGACCGCTTAACCGACTGAGCCACCCAGGTGCCCCCTGTAGGAATTTTAAAACAGCATTTTACAATAATTGAGACTCAACACCTAAGTGCTGGATCCAGAGTTCTAGACAGATGAGAGAAAGGCAGAGTAAGCAGGAGATGCTCCTGGCAAGGTGAGTTTTGAGTTAAATCCTGAAAATGTGTATAGGAATTCCTGAAAGAGGGTTACTCTGGTCATGGATGCAGTCCCCTCTGTTACAGCTTTAATGAAAACCAACTCTATTCCATGGCTCCAAAAGCATCACGTAAATATAGAATATACACAAATGGGATTTATAAGTGGCCCGAACTCCTGCATTACCTACTCCCATATCCTCCTTCACACTCTATGTACCCCACACTTCAGAGGCCTGTGTAGAAGGCCTCTGGCTTAATGAAAACCTCTGCCTTTTCGGACCACGAGTGTTTCGAATCAGTTGTTTATTGTCCTCAGTTGTAGGCTGCAGGTGTCCGAGGGTGCGGACGGCAGCGGCAGCGCCTGCCATTCAGAGGGCGACTCCTCCCAGCGGGCTCTCCCGGGCCTTCTGGCGGACACGGTTTGGCCAGCTCAGGGAGACGGCGGGTGCCAGCACGTACTGTCGTGACTGGGATTCAGGCGCCCCCACCCCCCCCCAGCCCCACTCCGGCTGCTTCTGGCCTGGCCTGGGCTTCTCAGGGCTGAGGGAACAGAGTTCTTGGAGGTGGCAGTAAACCTCTGTCATGGAATCAGTTGTGCTGTCTTATAGGCTGCAACACAATGATACTCTTTCCCACGAGAAGCCTGCGTTTGTAGCAATAGGGTGCGGCTGGTAGCTACGGGCAGCTGAGCGCACCCGGGCACCACGCTGTGGCCAGTCACCCCAAGGTCCGGCCAAGGCTGATACGGCCAACTCCGCTAATGGAAGGTGAAGCAGGGCCTGGAGAGGCCAAGCCGGTTCTAGGTCACACAGCCTGTGGGGTAGAGTTGGGATTAAAGTGTAGGTCTGACTGGGTGGGAAAGTCAGTTTGAAAAGTGACAGAGCGTTGTGGCCACCCTAGTCCTTTGTCCTTCAGTTCAACTCTCCTAGGCTGCACTGCACAGGGCCCTTCAGGGACAGCGCTGTTCTCTCACTGCATGGCCCAGAACCCGGCTCACTACTGGTCCTTAAAAAGCAACCAAGCCACAGAGACGTCATCATCAAGAATGAGGGATTGTGTCTGAAAAAGAAATTTACCCTCTAATAACAAGGATGAAAATCCTTGTTCTTAGAATGGTCTCAATCTTGAGAAAACCTCTCCCACTGACCCAGAGAGAAGTGAGGGGCTTGGGGGGGAGGGGATAGAATGGTGGCCCAAAAAGGTCAGAGCCCCCACATTGCCTCTTTCAGCTAGAATAACAACATCCTTCATTTCTAAGTGGTAATGTCGCCAATACGATGCACTTGTTGTTAGAGGTAGAAATGACTAAAAGATGTGCAACCTTTTCTCCAACCAGTGACGTATTTGGGGGTTTCCTATGAAGGCCTTAGGAAAGGGTGTCAGACAATCTGCACCAGGCTGCTCTCTGCCTCTCTGAGGGTGGAATGGGAAGGAGAACCAGAAAACCGACAGCTTGTATAAGAACTCCTTCCAACTTAATTAAAGACGCTTAGGCTAGAGTCGCTCAGTGGCTGGCGCTAAGTTTTCCTGCCCTCATGATTTTGGGGAAATTCTGATGACTGTTCAGTGAGAGACAGTAATGAGTCCGAGCCTGCCCTTTGATCGTGCATGGGCAGATCTAGGAAAAGGCCAGTAGGAAAAGCACCCCGGCACCCCCATGACTATCCTTCCCACCACGTGATCAAACAGAGCTGAAAATGCCTTGTCTTCATTGTGGCTCAAGTTTATGTCAAAACAACAACCCATCTCTCACTCTGGTAGTAAATGTAGTCAACAGACTCTCAACAAAGGATGATACCCAGCGTGGCAAGACCATCCACTATATAGTATATAACAGTAGCTAACAGAACTGATCACCTATTATGTGGCAGGCAAGTTCAAACACTTTATATTTAGTCACTCATTTAATCCTTGAACAAACTAGAAAAAGCACTTGAAAGGCAAGCAGATAATTGAGTTTTAGCCCCATCTTTTTCCACTAATTCATTCATTCAGCAAGTATTTACCGAAAGCCTACCGTGTCATGAGCCCAGGACTAAAAATCGAGCTGAGTGACACACAATCCTAGCATTTAAGAGCTGAAAGTCCAGGCCTTGGGAGCTGGGTAACTTGGGACAAGGCTCATATCCACACCAGGGCTCTTAAAACATAAAGTTTACTCTGAGATTTTGAATTTAACCATCCCGTCTCCTTCACAGCGTTGTGACAAATCGAATGAGCTGGTGGCAGTCCCGAGGAGAGGGTAAATGTCGAAAGGTCCTGAGCTGTCCTGTGGGTTGACAAGAGATGGTTTTAAAGTCTAAGCCTCCCAACTGCTTAAAACCGAGACAAGCACGAGGCTGTGGCTGAGCTGCCCTGTGGCCCGAGAGCTTGTGGCTAACCGCGTGGAGGTCCAGCTGTGGCCCCTGCCCGTGCTGGCTTGTGAAGGCCCTGCCACACACTGGATGCCTACTTCACATTGCTGGAGCGGGGGCCACTGGACACGGCGGAAGCAAAAGAGCAAGTCCAGACAGAGTGGCATGAGTGCACTTCTAACCTGAACACTGTGGACGCCACACACACACACACACACACACCCCAGCTCCCCTCTCCTCAAAGGAACAAGTGAGCACAGAGGTAGTATTTCTTGGGTTCTTTGCTCAGAACTTTTCACCGACACTTAAAAGGTTCAGACCAGAGGATAAACCATAAATAGCAGGAAAAAGAAGAGCATGTTCTCGAAAACTGGCTACACACATTGTGAAAGCACAAGGTAAAGAGCTTCCTTTTTCCTGCAATGAGTTGTTTTTAAGGTCCATTTTAAAAAGGGCGAAATAATAGAAATTATCAAAGAGTTTTGGAAACACTCTTCAGTCAACCTGACTGAATGTGAATGTGCCTTCGCAGAACAAGCAGGGCTCAAGCTGCAGTGAATTTGCCCCCTTCTCAAATTTACCTGTCGGTCTCGCTAGAGAGAGCCAACATGGTTAGAGATTTAAATAGACATTCTTAAAAATATGTGCTCCTCTAATAGGTCTTAGAAGTCTCGAGAGCTAAGGAAAAGAAAGACAAAAGGTTTTATTTAGCACTAATGACACTGGGGACACATTTTGTCAGGATTCAGTCCAAGAAATGTCATAGTCTGAATGTCAGACCAACAACCTAGAAAAAGTCACTCTTTCCTTTATGTTCCTTTTCAAGCCTGTGGAGAACAATAATGCCATCCTGTGATGGCTGAGGGAAGTCCAACTTCCTCACTTGAGTGTCTTCATTCTGACTGGGCCGCCTGGGCCCTCCCAGACCTTCCCAGCTCCGATATCCGTCCACATGCC